TGGATGGATGGATGGATGGATGGATGGATGGATGGATGGATGGATGGTGGATAAATATTCATTGAAGTGACAGTTCAGTTCAAAGTGGGGTTCTGTTGAAATGTATAAAATGAATACCGTAGATGTTGTAGATGTTGTAGATGTTGCAGAATGAACCTCACCTGTTTTACCTCCAACAAACACATCAACATGGCCAAAAAATCCAGTCTGTCTCATTGCTGATCTACTCGTTTCTTCAGATTATCACAAACTTTGGCTTGTTAAAATTTTGTTTTCCCACCTGCTGCTCTGTAATCCTCCTCTGTTGTCTGCTGTTGTTTGTTTGTTTGTTTGTTGTTGTTGTTGTTGTTTTTTAGACCATGCTCACAGCCATCTCCATGAGTGCCATTGCAACTAATGGAGTCGTTCCAGGTAAGAGAGGACTAGAAGTATTAAAATCGTGTGACGGATCAGATGACTGAATTGTGCGTGTCTTTGTATTTGTTACATTGTAAGACCCATTTTTACAACACGCACTACAATGTGAGAACCAACTGCTCCTTATGGTGTCCAAGGTCCGGGCCCCATAAAAAGAAGTGCTGTTGGTGGGTTAGGGGTTAGTGGTTTAGGACAAAAGTGTGGATTGAGGATGGGTTATGTTTAGGGTTAGATATGTACTGGTGAAGATTAGGTTTGGGGTAAGGGTCAGGGTTAGGCAATAGACATTAATGAAAAATGAATGGAAGTCAATGTAAAGTCCCTGTAAAGATAGAAAGACAAACTTGGTGTATGTGTGTGACTCACAGCTGGAGGTTCCTATTACATGATCTCTCGCTCCCTGGGGCCTGAGTTTGGTGGAGCCGTGGGGATCTGCTTCTACCTGGGAACCACTTTTGCCGGAGCCATGTACATCCTTGGCTGTATTGAAATTTTGCTAGTGAGTGGATTTAAACACCATAATTTGTTGTTCACGATTTGTAAATCCTTGTTTTTGTGTTGATTTTTTGTTTTTTTTGGTCAAATGTCACCCCATTGTACCTCAGTTTTATCATTCCCCATTCCAGTTCCTCCCTCAACTGGCAACCTTTTTGTCCACTCTTTCAGATTTATATTGTCCCACAGGCAGCAATCTTTAAAATTGAAGGCCTGGAGGGGCCAGAAGCAGAAATTGCACTGCTCAACAACATGCGAGTTTATGGCACAATCGTGTTGAGCTTCATGGCACTGGTTGTTTTTGTCGGGGTCAAATATGTGAACAAGTTGGCGCTGGTCTTTCTGGCCTGCGTTATCCTCTCTATCCTGGCTGTTTACGCTGGAATTATTAAAACCGCCATCGAACCTCCTGTCTTTCCGTAAGTGTCCCTATCTTGAACCAGATGTATCAAGATGTGGCACATGTTTTATTTTGTCTATTTTTTTGCAGTATCTGTCTCCTTGGCAACCGAACACTCGTCTCTAAATCGTATGATGTCTGTGCAAAGGTTATTGAAATAGACAATGAGACCATCACCACCAAACTGTGGCTGTCGTTTTGTGATTCTGACTCCCTCAATGCTACGTGTGATGAATATTTCACCAACAACAACGTCACAGAGGTACAGGGCATCCCAGGGGTGACCAGTGGGATCCTGGCAGGTTGGTTTACAATTAAATGACCTTCTGACACCAACCACCATTTAATTTGCCAAGTTCAGTCTCAATTTTAAAAGGGTTTCTTCTCTTTTGTCTCAGAAAACCTGTTTGGCAACTATCTGAAAAAAGGGATGGTTCTGGAGAAGCGTGGCCGGGCGTCCAATGTGGATCCCAACAGTCTTCCATCTAACGCGAACCGTTACGTTCTGGCTGACATCACCAGCTTCTTCACCCTGCTGGTGGGGATTTATTTTCCATCTGTCACTGGTGAGTCTCGCAGGAAAGCTCTAAGTTAGAGCTTTTAGAGCTTCATAAACCTACACCTCCTAATAGGGTTTAGCTGAATGAGCTCAGGATCAAGGACAAATCACATGACGTTTGTTTTCTTCTTTCAAAGTCAGTATCAGTCTGAGAATACAAAGAAAACCATGAGTTTGGTTTGCAGGAAAAACTGAGAAATGTACATATTTGAATGAGGATAAACATTTCCTCATTTGGCTGGAGAATGTGAAACCACCTCGTGCCCAAACAATATATACTGTCAAGAAGAGACGTTTAAGGGGAATAATAGAAAAAACTATGAAGTTTGGGGGTTTTTCTGGATATTTTCCACATCAAGTCTTCATTGTAGGAAACAAGTTCACTCTCGCAAAACAAAACTCTCAGAAAAGACAGTGAGAAGTTGAAGTGAGATGAGAAGGTGGTGTTTATAAGACTGAGGTTGTTGCAGCTCCTCAGACTGAAGAAGTCTTGGATAAAAAAAAAAAAAACGTTTCAACTAAGAAGAACCCGTCCAGAGGACCAGACTCAACCTTGTTAGATTTATCTACCAGGATTATTGCATCAGGACACTCTCAGAATATTCTCCTGGTATCATATATGAAACATTAAGTTCTCATCTTAAAACTCATTCAGACCATCACAGACAAATTAAACTTTAAGATCATGACTGTCATTAATTAATCTTAGTGTAAAGAAACTCTTTGTGAGACAGAGTCTAACCGAGCCAGTAATCAGGTGAATCACACTGTACTGACACGGCACACACTTCTCTGTAAACTGAAGGACTGTTCACTTGTTGGATGATGTACCAGCTGTCATATTTTATACTAAAAGCTTTGCAATAAAGGTCTTTTCAATGTTAACATTGTTGACTGTAAGTGTAAATTACTCAAAGGCAGTAGTGAGGGTTCCAACTTAATTTGTTATGTTTTACTTTCCCGTCATAGAAAGGTCACTGCAAAGCATTTAGAAAACTAAGATGAGGGGAAAAAATGGAGATAATGTGTTTCCCATCCTGGTTTAAAAGTATAAAGCTTCTAATTATCTAATTTTCTTTTGCTCTCAGGTATCATGGCTGGCTCTAACCGCTCTGGTGACCTGCGGGATGCTCAGAAGTCGATTCCAATCGGCACCATTGCAGCCATCACAACAACGTCCACTGTGTGTATCCTTGAATGCCCTACAGATGATTAAAACAACAAAAATAAGATCCAAAAGACTTCTCTATACATTGCTATCAGATATTCTCAGTCGTATGTTCCCTAACTGTTTTTCACAGACATGTCGTGTGTGGTGCTGTTTGGTGCTTGTATAGAAGGAGTGGTGCTCCGTGACAAGTACGCTTGATTGGGTCAACTTTGAGCTTTTTAAATTTAAGATTAGCCTTGTGGGGTGCCATCTTGTGTAGGCTTAATCACTGCCACGGATATAAAAAAAACCTGTCTGATCTGTATTATAATTAATTAATTATGGTGGTAAATGTAAATGTAAAAAATGAAATGTTTGTACATCAAACTTGACTAATACAATAAGAACGTGTAATGTTTCTGACATTATCCACTAAGACAGTTTGTTCACCACTACTTTCTAAACATGTCTGTGGGTGCTACAGTGAGTGAAATCTTAAAGTTTACATTGCTCAATGTTAAGTTCAGTTCAGTAAAAATAAAATTAAAATGATGTGATAAAAAAAGCAAAGCAGGTTTTGAGTCTTTACGAGACCGTTGAGCACAGTCGGCACTGAATGATCCCTTTTCTCTTCAGGTTTGGTGAGGGGGTTAATGGTAATCTGGTGATTGGTACTTTGGCGTGGCCGTCGCCATGGGTGATTGTATTTGGCTCCTTTTTCTCCACCTGCGGCGCTGGACTTCAGAGTCTGACCGGAGCGCCACGTCTTCTTCAGGCCATCTCCAGAGACGGCATCATTCCCTTTCTCAGAGTGAGTTTGCGTGTGCAGCCGAGTTCAAACACAACTGTGAGTCTCAGAACCATCAGAGACATGGAGGTGTTTATGTAAAGTGAAACAAACATCACATAAGAAACAGCTTTTACAGTAGTCCCTCGTTTATCACAGGGGATCCGTACCCTGAAGACCCGCAATAAGTGAAAAACCACAAAATAGGAATAGTAGTACTACAAGTAGTAAGTAGTAGTTTATTTTAGTGTATATATATATATATAT